GCAGCCGCAACTCGGCCTCTGACCTGACTCCTCAGTCAGCGCAGCAGGTGTGCCGAACCCAAGCTGTGCAACTGCCAGGGGGCAGCCGTAACAGCAAATTTTCCCAACTGCGCAACCTCGCCTGCACAGCCGCCTGGCTTCGTGGCAAGGCCGGTCGGTTCCGGGCCTGCCTGCAGTCGCCCCGCACAGCTTTGCACCCCGAGCGTAGTGGAGTACCACACCTCGACAGGGACTTTCACTCAGTGAGCATGAGGAAGGACAACAGGCCATATTTCGTCTGCAAGCGCTGCAAAGACTCCTGGGTTTTCTGTCATAAGGCAGAGACCGAGCAGGTTTGCAACAAATGCGGCGCAAAGTGGCCCAAGTACAATAAGCCCAATCCCGTGCCTCAAGGAGGACAAGCCCGAGATACGAGGGAAAGGTCCCAGCCTCGCCGGGCACCAAAGCAACAGAATGTAGCGCAGCGCGCGCTGCGTACTGTGTGGGAAGCCCTACCTGCGCCGGTCAAGGATACCATCGAGAATGTGGGCTGGACACCACCAGCACCATCCGCACCACCAGGCTTGTCCCAAGGCAACAGGCCCACGGCTAAGGCACCGCGAGACACCAATCGTGGAGGCAAAGGCAAAGGCAAAGGACGGCCAGCGGCTTCGCAAGACAGCGAACAACCCGATGAAGCACAAGAAGCGCTGAGAGCCCTTTTTGCCACCGCTGCAGACGATCAAAAGGAGCTTCTGCTCAAGCTTGGGTTCGAGGCCCCCCAGGAGGCCGCGCCAGATCTCACCGAGCTTCTCAAGAAGCACATCGCGCAGCTGCCACCAGCGGTTCGGGCGGCAGTGGAGGAGCCACCCCCCGAGCCCCTTTCCGCGCAGGAACAGCTCACAGACACGTCACGCAAGTACAAAGACGCCACTACCGAGCTGAGGCTATTGATCACGCGCAAGTCAGCTTTGCAACTCAAGTTGGATAAGCATAAGAAGGCTTACAACGACATGTTGCGGGACATGCAAGCCCTCGATGCCTCGCTTAAGGAAAAGCAAGACACCGTGACGGGTCTCCAGACCGAGCTTCAGTCTTCGGTTGAAGCGGCTATCGCGCCGGGGGGGGGGCCTGATATCGAGGCGGAATTCTTCAAGCACCTCGCCCAGCTCAGCGATGACCACCTGCAGGACATCAAGGAAAGGCTGTGCCTCACGATCGACGATGCAGCCAAACGCCGCAAAGTAACCAATGCTACCGTCCCAGACGCAGACATGAGGCCCAGGGAAGCGGAACCACCCGCCACAGGCCCGACGCAAGGTTCTGGTACGGCAGGGGAAGACAGCAACAGTCAGCGGCGCTCCCGCAGCAGGGGCCGCGCTGACACGGCATAGGGGGGAGGGGCAGGGCTAGGCGTGACTAGGACCTCCTTTCCCTGTGTGTGTCCTAGCCCTGCGACCCGCTGCTCCCCCCCTTTCCTACCGCTGCCCAAGCACAGCACTTTCTGCAATAGGCAGTGTGCTTTGTGCTACCTGGATGTTACAGATTCAGGTTCCTCTTTGCAACTTCCAACCGCATCATTTCATTTCTGCCCCAGCTGCACGCGAAACCATCGGGTAGGTTTGCATTTAGATCTGCAGCCGAGCAGTAGCAATCCGAACACTCACCCCACATTTAGTGGCGGTTTTTCCACCGGAGACCAAGCAGGGGTTGCCCCGCTGGTCTCTCCCAGGCGACCCATTGACAGCGGCACCAGCGTCTCTCTAAATAGTGCTGGACTGCAACCATCGGAAGCCTTGGCAAATTCAAATTTTGCACTTTTTGAGCGCAACCCCGGCCCGTCAGTGGTCGAGCTGCACCCAATTCTGTTTCCAAGTGGAGAGGAAGCCTCCCCCCACAGCCCTCATACCTGCCGACAGTGTGGAGGAGGCCTCCCCTGTTTACAGCTGCCCGAGGATGGGATGAAAGCTTTCACTGCCGCAGTGAAAACCGCTATGTGCACAATCAGGAAAGGCATCGGGGACCATGGGTGTTTGCCACACCACAGGTCCTGCCTACCGAGATTACAGCAACTGCACAGTGACCTTTCCTCTCTCTGCCCTGGCTGCCTTCAGGCAGCACACACTCAAGCCAGTGTTGGCCCAACTAAGAAGCTCCTTACGGGACCTCGGTTCTTTCCTGAGGACTTTGACCGCCCCGACGAAGCACCACAGGCCAACCAGGATTTGGAGCCCGCTAGCCCGATGGCCATAGCGAGTGCTGGGCACAACACTGGCACACAAAGCACGTGGACTTCAATTTCACAGACCCGCGGGCCACCGGGCCAGTGCGGACCGACCACGAGGAGCAAACCAAAGAGCCTGAAGACCAAGCGCCGCCGCAGACGTCAGGAAAGGGAGCATAGCATCCCGCAGATACACGATCTAGCGGCCCTCCTCCGATCGCACTCTGTCGAGCACCCAGCCGTTCATCAAGCCGCCATAGACCTGGCGGAATGGGTCGAGTCAGAACGGATGCCGGAAGAGTCGTTGGAAAGCCAGGTAGCCTGGTGTGTTCTTGAACACTGTTCTGGCACTCCTGGCCCACTTGACACGCACACGCTGGCGGCTTTCCTGGATGGAGCCGAAGAAGCGTACAGCCCTGAGCAAGGAGAGCCCCTCCAATTAGCTGTCGCTAATGTCACTAAGTGGCGCCCGGACATTCTTCGGTGGTTCCAGCAAACGAAGGCCAGCTGCTTTCTTGGCCAGGAGACTCACCTCAATAGTGAGCAAACGCAACAGGCCAGGGCCAGTCTGGCCGGAGTGGGCTTGCACTCTTTCTGGGCTGGAGCCACAGAAGGCAAGCAATCCAAAGGCGGGATTGTGGTTGCCACGCCCTGGCAGTCGCACCCCAGACTGGTGCAGGAACGCACGGTCGAAGGCTGCGGCTACCTTGCGGTGGAACTACCCCGCGTCAAGTGGCGTTTGGTGGTAATCACAGTCTACCTCAAGGCCGGCACAGGGCTCCATGTCGAGCCCAACGCCAGCTTGTTGGCCGACTTAATGGCTCTCACCAAAACGCTCCCCAACTGGGTTGCAGCAGGGGACTGGAATGTTGACGTTGATAAGTTTGCCAGCACCAACATCAACACCATCCTCGGAGCCGAGATCATTGCGGATAAGGCAGCTGCCATCAGCACAGGCAACACACTCGATTTTGTCCTTGCCAGTCGCTCGGTGGCTCCGATGCTCACCCTTACAGTTGATAAGGCGGTCCCTTTTGCCCCGCACTTCGCTCTGAACCTCACGCTCAACTTAGAACACGGCATGTGCCACCTACCTACTCTGCCTGCCTTCCCTGGCCCACCTGGGCCGTACGACACCAAGGTTGTGCAGAACTACGATCAGGACATTGCAGGCTCGGCGCCGGAGAATGGGGTTGCCCCTCCCGGCGCCAGCTGCGCTGCCCCACAGGATCAACACCGCCTCCTCAACGGAGATACCCTCGACATCGGAGGGGTGAAACTGGACAACAGTGGCACCACTGCGGCGTTTGCGGCCCTTTCCACCAGTGTTGAGCGCAGCGTCTTTAACGCTGTGCACGGCCGAGGGGTTGCAAGGCCCGTTGCCTACCAACCCCTGCTCAGGGATGACAGAGCCCCGCAAAGGTGGCACGGCAAACAACTAGCCTTCCTCACGCAAACCTTGCAGGCTCTCAAACAGTGCCGGCCCCTGGCCCCGCTACCCTCTGAGGTGCACAAGCTTGCCCTTGGGTACATAGAGGAACTTGGGCCTGAACAGGAAGCCCCGGCATGGCTAGCGACGCTTGGTGTGATTGCAGGGGAAGCCTCGCCACCCAGTGCCGATCTCTCCAAGGTGCAGCTGGAGACCGCCATCGCCCTGTTGACCAACGACGAGGCTCAAGAACGCCTTC